CCTCCGTCCGTCTGTCCGTCCGTCTGTTCCGTCCGTCCGTCTGTTACGCTTTCATCTCTTATCCGCAATCTAATACCACTGAATGAAATTTGATGAAACTTTCACAGAATCTTTATTACATATTGCCATTGTGCACCTCCTATTTTACTTTTTGATACACATATAGTTTCCCGGCCACAGGAAAACATGACTTTTTCACCTTAGTTTTTTTATCAATTAACAATATTTTTCCATATGTCATCTTTAAATATCCCAGTGAACTTGAAATAAAATACACTACTGAGTTTACAACTAGCCGTTTAAAATTCAAAACGTTTTGTTAAATACAGACGAGAAATGGGAAAGTAAAAACTTACAAACAAATTGTCTTCAGCTTTTCCATTCCGTTCCTTTTTGCCATAACTAATTAATTATGATGCTTTAATAGATTCTTTATTACATAATACCATAATGCACCTCGTATTTTACTTTTGGATTTGACACTTATTTCGGATTTACAATAGCAAAACATGGACTTTGCAATTATAACCATATGGTAGTCGGGGTATCATTTATTGAGCTCATTGCTCTCAGTACCTCTTATTATTTCTATGTTAGTATTTGTACTGTGAATAATATGTTATCTACATGTATCTTTGTAAGGAGATAATTTATACATGAGATTTACTGTCCTATGTTATGCATTAGATATATTACGAGTATCATATGTACTTTTAAGATTGTAAACATTTTTGGCATTTTCATTAATAATGACTTTTTGACAAACTCTGTGTTATGTTATCTGTTTGGGAAAAATCGAGCAAAGAAGACTCGTGGCTTAAGAGACATCTTTGTTATAAGAGGATGGTATAATTATACTTACGAGGGCTGTTCAATTAATAATGTCCTCGGTGCTCAGAAAGAAGCAAAAGACGCTTTTCAGTGTCTTCATAATTTTACTTATCAATCTCTATTAAACCAAACACATGTCCTTAACATTTTTTATCCAATTTCTGATTGTTTTTAGAACTCATTTTTGGGTATGACCCTTAGTATACTGGAAAATGGCAGATCCAATGATTTCTTGGACTTGTTTTTTCCTTCTGAAAGGTGTTTTTTCAAGTTTGGAAATTGAAACAAGTCAAAAGGTCAAAGATCTGGCCAATAATGTTAATGTGAAAAAACACTAACTTTCTGTTTATCCCGAAACCCCCTTTACTCTTCAGGGCATGCGGGTTTGGACGCTGTCATGAAGGAATTCAATGTAGTGGATTCCTGATTCTGGGTCCTTCCTCTAATAAACCGTTTGATCATTATGCAAAAAAAAAATTGCTTTCTAGACTCCTCCGGATATTAAACTGTCTCCCCGAATACGAATTGGAACAACAATACCACTAATATTTCAGAAAATTGCATATAAACCAGTCTTTGTGCTCTTGCATACCTTTGCTCTTGTCAGACCTTCGCCGTTTTTATCTAGTACTTCTTATGGTAAATTTTGTTTTGATGGTTTTAAGCAATGTATTCATGTTCCAATATCTGCTTGAAAATAAAACAAACGTGGTTAACTACAATTACTGATATTTTAAAATAATTGTTAAGACTTTCGTATACGCTGTCGTTTTCACTCATTTTTTCAAAATATAGAGTGACCTTTGAGTACCAAGGTTTTTTACTGTCAAACGTTTCTTTAAAACAGTGTAAACTACTCCCGATATGATGTCTGTTGAATTTGCTATGTGTCTTAAAGTCAATCATACATCATCAAATAGTATTTGTTGAAATTTGGCAAACAGTGCATAAGTTGTTATAATTTTTGTTGGCAAAGAGGGTACCCATTTTTGATGCCCATTATATAATTTTTTTATCATTGAAATTCACTTGCTAATTTGTCTATAAAACAGGCATTGCTTGCTGTAAATGTCACATGTTTCAGTGAATATTTCTTTGGGATTTTTAACAAGTTTTACAGAAGCTTTAATGAAGCTTTTAATTTCACTCTAGTTTACTGGTCCTTTACCATTCATTTACAATGCAGTGTCTAGAAAAGCCCTTGTTTCCCAGCTTCTCACGATGAAACTATGTGATGAAAAGTGGTCACATAAACTGTTATGAATTCAGTAAAGATTCAATAATGAGAGAAAGTCAGGTTTAATGTCATATGATATCTGTATTGTATGTCATAAAGTTCAGGACATTATTTATTGAACAGCCCTCGTATGTGAAAACATAACGTATTATATAGCATTTGGATTACCTTGTCATTTTTCCCGGAATTACACAATTTTGTTTCATCACGGGTCTGTACTTTACCAATGTTTTGTTTTTAAGCTTAGTCACGGGACAATGATTTTCATGATATTTGATTTTCTTTTCACAATGTTTATAATAATTTGAAAATGCCATGGAATTCTATCCTGTAATTTTTGTTAAAAACATTTATTAGTGTGAAAACTTTTGAGTTTTGTTAAGTGTATATTTCTTCATCAAGAAGGATAGTTGAAGTAAGAAAAATGGCGATCATCACTTGTATTTTCATGTTGTAATATTAGTTCATGATTTTGTTTTGATAAATTATCTAAATTTCTAGTTTTGTTGGTGTCTTTCTTTTTGGTTGAAATGGACGTATCGAATCAACAGAATGAAAATGGATATTAGCAATTAATAATTGATAATATATTCCCACATAATTTTAGATTTGATAACATTGTTAAAATGTCTGTGTAATGCATGATAGAACGATATATGGAATTTGAAGATATAGTTTAAAATGAATTTTAAATGAACTAATGAAAACAATCAAATTGATTTCTTTGCCACGACAATTTCGTTACGCCTATTAACTCAGAATTGTATTGTATCGACATGATAGGTTTATATAACTTTCTACTGTAATCGATGTCAATATCACTTCTTAATTTGATATAGATTTAATACTTGAAATGAACGTCGATTTTATTTATTGGATTATTATGACTTATGCATTTTTCTTCTAAAAATGAATCAAAATAGTTTAATTTTGATATGATATTGACGCCCTTCTGACTTGATTAATATTATGTTAATTAAGCTCTCATTACTTTGTTTGATTTAATCATTTTTTATACAAGGTATTTTAAAAATTAAACAAAGAGTATAATGGTTTTCATTCCCCTAAATTTTATTCACCTGAATTTTGCTTATATGTTCTTTGCTCAAAATTAATAAACCTCTGATATACTTGCAAAATCATGATGAAATTATTGTTACTTTTGATATTCGATGCTGTTCTGCAAAAGAAGTAGAATTATGATAATGCATTTGTCAAATCCTCGAAATCAGATAATGAAAGTTTGAGTAAATACACAATCTTTATATGTATTTGAAGATGATGACATATTTTTCAAAAACAAACACACACACAAATGCTTCGTTATTTGTTCTCTTTCCGTATAAAATCTGTAAATATATATTCAAACGTTTGCTTACAATTCCCTTGATAGAACGATTTTTATAGATCCTTATAGTTCCTTATAGATTTTAAACAGTCTGCTTTTCAATCTGCAGAAGTTTTATATACGAAATTTTAATGAATTCGTTAAATTTTTATAAACAAAAAATTGATTCTTTTCCCGGTATGCCGCAAAAACAATTAAACTACATAATTCATCAAATAAAAAAAAAACTAAACATTTGTTAGAATATGTTGCTACATTTAGCATCAGTGTTGCTATTTATATTGCATTTCCTTGTGCCGTTTGTTTTTAATGCATAACGATCTTCTTTAGTAAAAGCATCACGCTTCCATGCTAATTAATTGAAAGGTTCTGCGTTTTATGAATACAGGGCGTTTATTTATATCCACAGTTTCCATTTGTTGTCCTCAATTCTGTGATAAATTACTTTTTTTTTTAAATTTCATTATTAAGAGTCTGGAATTCAATTTTAGGTCACATGAGTCACTCATGTGACCTATGGCTATTTTTTTCTCAATCATCTTGCTTTGTGTGTAAACGTGTGAACATTTTCAACATCTTCTCTAAAACCGATGCACTAATAAAGCATATAGAATCTATGGATAAAGGGGAAAAATTTTGTGAATTTTATGAACCCTTCCCCCATAGGGCTGAGGGGTGGGGCCAAAACCACAAAAATTAATACAATCTTTAAAAATCTTCTTTATTCCTGAGTATCAAGCAGGTAAATTGTCATCCTCGCAAGCCAAGGGTCCTGAGTCAACATGTTGCCATTTGACGTACACGTTGCCGTTTGACGTCAAACTGCAACATGCTGACTCAGGACCTCTGGCTTGTGAGGATGTCAAACTTTTGCATGATTGTAATGAGCATTGAAATTCCCTACCAGAATTCTGTGATTCATGGTCCTATGGTCAGGGGTTCTAGACCCTATGAGAATTTTAGGAAGATATAGAGTATATAAGGGAAGTGCTTTATTTCTTTGAAAATCTTCTCTGCTCCTGGGTACAAAACAAACTTAATGTATAGTTTTAATGAGGAAGGATATCTCTTCCAAGATTTCATGGCCCCAGGGTCAGGGGTTCTTGTGTTTGGTCAGGACTCTATTGATTAAAAAGTGAAAATGCACTTATTCTTTGCAGTACTTCTTCTCTGCTCCTGAGTATCAAACAAACTAACTAAAAACATAGTTTTGATTAGCAAAATTCCAAATTTGTAAATTTCATGACCCAAGGACCAGAACTTCTTGATATAGGGCTGAGGTCTCTTGATAATATAGTGAAAATTCATTAACTGTTTGAAATATTCTCCTTTGTTCCTTTGTATTAAGCAGTTGAACTACCTACTGTTACATTATCTTGCTAATTTTGTTATAAGAGTTATTGCCCTTTGATTGATTGATTTTACATACACTATTGTTTGAGTATGCGCAAGGCGCCACTTGTGATTTCCGTTCTACAGAATACAGAGTCAGAAAACGTGCTCGTTGTCTTGTCGTCATTTTCACTGCATCTTTGCATTCAGAAAACATAACATGATGTCAGAATTTACAGAAGTCTCGTAAAAATGGATCTTACAGGCATACCTACGCCATGTATGGATTGGACCTCGACAAATTTGGTCGACAGCTGGAAAAAATTCCAACAGCACGTGCAACTTATATTTGATGGCCCATTGAAAGAGAAAGATGAGACTGTTAAGATAAGTTATTTACTTATTTGGGTAGGCGACAAAGGTCGTGATGTGTATAATACGTGGACTCTGACTAACGACGACAAGAAAAAGCTCGACACTTACTACAAGCGTTTTAAGGCGTATGTGCAGCCTAAGCTCAACCCTGTGTTTAGCAGATTCAAGTTCAATAACGAGGTTCAAGGTCAGCAGTCGATTGAGCAGTTTGTCACCAGACTCCGATTGTTAGCTAAAGACTGTCAGTATCACGATGCAGACGAGATGATCCGTGATAGGATTGTGTTTGGGACAAATTCCGCCAAGATTCGCGAAAAGCTTATCAATGAAGGTGACAAGCTTACTCTGGATAAAGCCATCCAAATCGCCCAGAACCACGAATACTCACAGGAGCAGCTTAAGTCGATGGGTACCACGTCACAGGAAGTTCACGCGGTTACATCTAGACTACCGCCAGGAAATCGTGATTCCCACAAGACTTCCAAAACTGGCCATAGCACCAGTCAACCTGAACCGAAACGGTATAGTGACGCAGCCGCAAGCCATGCATCCAGTAAACCTGTATGTCCGAACTGTGGATACAAACATACTAAAAAGGAGAAGTGCCCTGCGTACGGAAAAACCTGCAAGCTTTGCAATAAACGGAACCACTTCGCCAAAGTTTGCCGTAGCAAGAAAGTTCATGAAGTTCGCGAGCCGCACACAACTGGAGCAGAATATCCTTTATACAGTCACAGCTCTAATGACAATTTTACTGATTTGTTTGTTGATTGTATCAGTGTAGTTCATGCTCTTAACAAAACTGATGTGTCATATGAACAAAATCAAGCATTTACACATGTTACAATAGGTCCAAATAATGTACCAGTCAAATGTAAGCTCGACACTCTCACAAGTTAATGTTATACCAGTATCTACTTATAAACAACTAGGTGTTGCTGATCAATTGAGTCTGTCATCTGATTTTTCTGGTTATGCTGGGTCACCAGTTAAGACACTGGGTTCTTGTAAAGTAGCTGTTAAGGTTGGGGACAAGATATTTTACACACAGTTTCATGTTGTTGACCCTGACAGTAGACATGCCCCACCTATCCTCTCGGACTTTCTTCATGTATGAATATGGGACTTGTTAGGTTTGTTAATTCCTTGACAGTTAAGTCGACTTTAACAGACCCCATTTCAGACAGTGTACTAGACAGAGAGACTGTTTTGACACAGTTTAAGGATATCTTTGAAGGGTTAGGGTTATTCCCAGGGGAATGTACTATTCATGTAGATCCCGATGCTATACCTGCTGTCCACCCCCCTCGTAGAATAACACAGGATTTGGGTGACAGGGTAAAACTGAGTTAGACAGGATGGAGAAGTTACAGGTCATTGCTAAGGTCGACACCCCCACACATTGGGTAAACTCCATGGTTGTTGTCGAGAAGCCATCTGGAGCTTTACGAATCTGCCTTGACCCCAGGGATCTAAACAAGGTCATTCATCGACCCCATTACCCCTTGAAAACTCTCAATGACATTTTACCGGAGTTATCTGGTGCACGTTATTTCACCAAGCTTGATGCGCGCTCAGGTTATTGGACTATTAAGTTTGATGATGACTCAAGCTATCTTACTACTTTCAATACCCCCTATGGTAGGTATCGCTTCCGCAGATTGCCCTTTGGCCTGAAATCTGCGCAGGATGAATTTCAGCGCAAGATTGACTACTGTTATGCAGGTATCAAAGGTGTTGTTGCTATAGTTGATGACATTCTTGTCTACGGGAAGACCCGTGCTGAGCACGATAGCAATTTGAAAGCCGCTCTTCAGCGCACAAGAGAAATGGGCATTAAGCTCAATGATGAGAAGCTAGATGTAGGTCAGACACAAGTCGAGTACTTTGGTCACTTACTCTCTGCAGATGGCATCAAGCCAGACCCTAAAAAGGTCTCAGCTGTCAAAGACATGAAACCACCAGAAAATCGTAACGAACTCGAGACAGTACTGGGTATGGTAAACTACCTATCCAAATTTGCACCAAACTTGGCTGATACTACTAGCCCCATGCGACAAATGTTGTCATAAAGGTCTGAATTTGTTTGGGGCCCAGCCCAAGAAGAGTCTTTTGCTAAGGTCAAGGACATAATCACAAGGTCACCAGGCCCAGTATTGGCCTATTTTGATCCTTGCAAAGATACTGTATTGCAAGTTGACGCCTCCAAATTTGGTCTTGGAGCTACTCTCTTACAAGAAGGCAAGCCTGTGTCTTATGCCTCAAAATCACTTACCCCATCAGAAATTAACTACGCACAAATTGAAAAGGAAATGTTAGCTATTCTGTTTGGGTGTAAGCATTTTCATCATTATGTTTATGGGCGTTAGTGTCTATTATGCAGAAGTCTATACTTACTGCCCCTGCCCGCTTACAGCGCATGATTCTGCAATTGCAGAGATACAACCTTAAGCTTGTTCATGTTCCAGGAAAACAGATTCCTGTAGCAGATATACTTTCTAGGAAGTACTTATAGCTCTCCAAGGGCATTGAGGCTCAGGTACATTTGGTTCATGAAAACATGCAGGTCAGTGACCGTCGTCTAGAACAGATTAGGTTGTCTACAGAATCAGACCCCCAGTTTCAAACCTTAACCAAATTTATTTTGGAAGGTTGGCCAGACTTCAGAGATTGCCCAGACCCCATTAAGGAATACTGGAACTTCCGCGATGAATTGTCAGTAGAGAATGGGCTCATTATGAAGGGTCTTAGAATAGTAATTCCCCATGACCTCAGGACAGAGCTCTTAAAAATATTACATGTGGGTCACACTGGTGTTGAAAAAACCCTGAGACGAAATATATATATTACAGACCTAATACTGAACTGTAACGTTTGTTTAGAATTTAGGAATTCCAACTCTAAGGAACCTTTGCAATCTCATGAAATTCCCCCATTCCCCTGGCAGACAATTGCCTCGGATCTCTTCCTATGGGATGACAAGGAATATGTTCTGTTTGTTGACTACTATAATAGGTATTTTGAAATTTTCAGGCTAACCAATACTCATAGTTCCACTATCATCTCAAAGTGCAAAGAAGTCTTTGCAAGGTATGGTATACCTGAAAAATTTGTTTCGGACAATGGTCCACAGTATTCCAGTTATGAATTTGCTGATTTTTCCAAAGAGTGGAACTTTCAGCATGTCACTTCAAGCCCTAGGTACCCTAGATCTAACGGTCTTGCTGAAAGGACAGTACAAACCATTAAGGGCATTCTTACTAAGTGTAAGGCTGACCGACAAGACATTAATTTGGCCCTTCTGACATATAGGACTACTCCCTTGGACATAGGACTTTCCCCATCACAACTGTTAATGTCCAGAAGACTTAGGTCAAACATCCCTATTGTTCAGGAAAGCCTTAAGCCCTTTTATCATGACACAGACAAGATTAGGGTAAAGTTACAAGTCAGTCATGACAAGTCAAAGGTCTACCATGATAGATCAGCTCGACCTCTTAAGCCTCTCAACTCGGGTGATTCAGTTAGGGTTCAGCTGAATGATAAAAAATGGACCCCAGCCATTATAATGCAACCACATGGGAATAGGTCATATTTGGTCAAAACACCTGCTGGTTCTTTGTAGAGGCGCAATAGGAGATTTCTCCATAAAACAAATGAGGCTCCCCAGCCAGAAGAGCTTGCTCTCCCCCAGTATGATGTTTTCAAACATGAGCCTGTGCCAGATGATACCCCTAATGTGAATTCTGGTAATGATGTGCAACCTGGAGAAATTCTTGACATAGGTAACTCACCTAAGGCCCCAGAGCAATCAAAACCATATGTTACTAGGTCTGGAAGAGTTGTAAAACCAAAAATCATTCCTTCTATGTAATCAAATTGTCAATCAATTGTTACCTTAATTATCATATCAGTCTACATTATTTGCATATGTATGTCCATTAAATATGGTTAATATGTTCATTGTGAATCAGAACTTTATATATACAGATTTGGACACTTATGATTTTCAATTTGACAGTGTTAAATGCAATATGATGATTGTACATGAATTAAGTGACTTTGATTTTTTTGTTAAAAGGGGAGATGTTACATTATCTTGCTAATTTTGTTATAAGAGTTATTGCCCTTTGATTGATTGATTTTACATTCACTATTGTTTGAGTATGCGCAAGGCGCCACTTGTGATTTCCGTTCTACAGAATACAGAGTCAGAAAACGTGCTCGTTGTCTTGTCGTCATTTTCACTGCATCTTTGCATTCAGAAAACATAACACCTACATAGTTGTAATGGGCAAGGGTCCTTCTTTCATAATTGTGGAATTCGAAGGCCCCAGGAACAAGGGCCCTTCTTTCATAATTATGAATATGAAAGCCCCAGTAGCAAGGGTTATTGTTTGGGAGGGGGGCTCTAATGATTATTTACTCAAAATAAATGCTTTGGAATCTGCTTTTTGGTATTGATATAATATAAATGATGTGTAAGTGTTCCTTTTCAAAAATGTGAAATATATGGCTCAAGGGACTGGGGTTCCTGAGAGGCTGGTGTACTACTATTATTGCTGATTACTGGATAGTGAGCAACTGAATAGTTGAAATGCATTTTCTTTGGTTCCCCCACTCTGCCGGTGGGTATAAAGTAAGATAACTAAGCATGCAAAGTGTATAGTTATGATGAGCAAAGAAGCTTCCTTCAAAATTTTGGATGTTATGACCTCTTGTTTTAAACAATACTCTCGTCTCTTGTTGGAAAGTTGTTATCCGAAAACGATCTTTTTTTTTTAAACAGAGGCAGGATACAGACAAATTATTTGATGTGACAGTCTCGTTTATTAAAGTCAGCATTTCCTATTTCTATTGTCATTATAATGACCTCGTTATCAAATATAACCTATTATCTGGTTGTATATTTTAACTGAGTCGTTTCATACCAATTATAAGGACTTTGTTTTTAGCTTAAATTCGAAAACAGAATGTTCTGCCTCCATGATCAATACATAGGGATCAATGCGGGTGTAGTTGGTTGACAAGGGATGCTTAATTCTCCTAGGATGCTGATCCAACGTCTGGAATGTCCATTGAATAAGTGTGTATACTACAGGTTTGTACAGTGTTTTTTATTTAGATCGATCACTGTTTGTTTGCCCTTTCAATCCACCTTTTGATTAGCTCTTTATATAATTGGAGCCTTACGCTTCCTAAATATCCGATTTTATATTTAGAATTTCGAACCTGTAATGATCTTTCGATGCTGTGCTTTAATAAAAAGAAGCCTTCTTAACTTTTCTAAATATATATATCCAGAATTTTTTTATTTGTTTTACCTGCCATTTTTCCCCTCTTACAAATGAGAAAAGTATAGAAGTATGTCACTTATTTTAAAATAGATTTAAAGGTATAACTATACCCATTAATCTAATTTGATTAAAATTAACTGATATTTAAGAAGGATTTATGAACGTTGATGTGTAAGTGCTTGAGAACTTTCAGCTACATAAAAGTTAATCAAAATTCTAGTAATGATTACTCTGTCCCAATGCTGCTACTAATTATTCTGCAGTTTTTGTTGATGACTTCCTGACAATTTATGCTAATTTTTAATTGTTTGATATTTACTTATTCTTATTGTTAATTACCAAATGTTACTTCTTTGGTCCTTCTTATTTAACAGGATTTATTTCCCATATCAACGTAGAATAATTTAAGAGAAACGCCAGTTTTTCTTCTTTCGTAATTTACATTATAGCAAATATGTACATATGTGTACACTTCGGAAATATATGCACATATTAAACTTGTTCTAGAAAATACTAATGAGAGAGGACATCCCCCCTCACACACACAAATGGAAGCCTGGTTTGGTTTATAATTTTTGAGATATAATGGTTCTAAATTATGAGAAGAAAATATTTCTAAATTATAAAGAAATTACCTTTCTATTTTTGTTAATAGGATGCCTTGGGCCTTTTCGGTCGCTTCTTTTGCTTTTAAATCTTAACTTTTTTTCACTTTTAAAATATTAACTACAGTGGTTTGTCCATTAAACTCCAAATTTAGATGTTAAAAATAATTTAAGACTGTAATACATAGAGGATATTACATACTAAAATTCATATCATATGTCACATCAGCCCGAGTGGCCCTATATCAGCCTGAGGACCGAAGGCCCGAGGGGTGATATGGGGCCCTAGGGCTGATATGAGATATAATATGAATTTTAGTATGTAGTATTCCATTTATCATATATTTAGAATACTTAATGTGCGAGTTCACAAAAATTCATTGAAGAATTTTTCGTGCCTGTTTATGACCTTTTCTTTAAAACTAATTTTATAATAAAAAAGTAAGACTACAAATGTTACTAAAGAATTATTTTACATGTACATTTAAATAAAATCAAGTAAATTTTGAAACTTTTTACAAACGTTACTTTCGGTTTGATATACATTTTTACACGCCGGTCCGATACGTGATATGGATTTTCGAACCGGTCCTTGATATGGGATATAGTGACGTCACCCGAATGGTACAGTGTAGAATCGGTGTAATTATTACTAAGTACATGATAAAATTTCATGTTTTTCACGTGTTTATCCCTATGGTTTTCCAAATACAGAAAATTTACACCTACCTTCACTTGATTGAACATTATATATGAATGAGAGCTGGAGCTAACATCGTAAGAATGGATCTAAAATTAGACTGGATAAAAAATTACATCTATTTAAAAAAACGAGATCTCTATTCTCCATCTTTTTATTTACTGCCCGTTCACACATAGACTCCGCTTCTACTACGATCAAAGCGTGGCAGAAAATATGGCCGATCGTGGCAAATCGCAGGAGAAACGTAGTGGAGTCTTCATAGGCGTATGATCGCGATTTTCATGATTAGAGAGCTCTACGCTCACAGGGGCCTGTAACATACTGTTTTTGATTTTACGTAATCACTATATATATATATATATATATATATATATATATATATATATATATATATATATATATATATATATATATATATATATATATATATATATATATATATATATACAAAAAAGGAAAGGGAAACAACGTCAGTCCGAATTTACACAGGGTCGATCTCGGAAATATCTCGTATTTCATAGAAAAAAGAATGTAGCCAATTAAATTATAACTAGAAATCATACTACAATAAATATTCTTTAATAAAACAGAAACCTCGTTACTTTTTATAGCGTTTAAGTTGGGTAATACTAACTCGATATCCCGTTGTGCGAGTCGATGTACTTTAAGTCGTCCACTAAAACGAGGCAAAATTCGCACATTTTCTCCAGTTTTGAAGTCTTTCCGGAGATGGAAAACACAAAGTAAAGATCCAGCGTTCACGAAAATCATCTTTTTCTTTTGTTAATTTAAATTAAAAGGTACAACATCTCCGATTTGAATAAATACGGTAGCTTTTTTCGTTCACAGAGAGGCTCGAATCCAGAACAGACGACATTTTGGAAAAACACATGATTGGTAACAGGCGGAGCGTGATTGGTCAGATCAACATTGACCAATCACATCTCGCGTTAAATATTGGATGCAATGTTTAGCAAATTTAGTGGACAACTTAAACTACATCACTTGCATGACAGGATATCGGATCTGCAAAACACGACTTACACGATTCTTAAATGACCGCGATGGTATTTTTATTAAAGAGTGATTATTACTGAATGATCCCAGACGTTATTTCACTAACTGCAAGGTATTTTATTGAAAACACGAGTCATTTCCGAGATCGACCCTGTGTAAATTCGAGCTGACGTTGTTTCCCTTTCTCTTTTTGTATACATATAGTGATTACGTAAAATCAAATACAGTATGTTACAGGCCCCTGTGTCTACGCTCTCGTCACGCTTATTTTGAACAAGACATGCTCAAAGCAAGCGTAGTGGGATCGTGGCCACAACAACAATCGGGGTAAAGCCGTAAAAAGAGCGTTATAGAAGTTTTATCGTGGAGAGAGTGATTATTAAAGCGTAGGAACTTATCAAGTACGCTCCTACAACGCTCCCACTACGTTCTAACTGTTTTCCCACTACGATCTATCTGCGTACCTGACGATCCCACGAATACCTACAATGGCCTCAAGCCGATCATACCACAACCTATCAGGCAGCAGTTCTTATAGCGCTTTCATCTGACCAATCATCATCTGTCAACTACATGTAAGCCCCCGTTCACACAGCTGCGACTTTACGACGATCATCTCGATCAAGCCACGATCTGCAAAAGTTTTGGATTGGGGTGGATCGGAGCTGATCGGCGTCTAAATCGAGCAATTTGGCAAAATACGGTCATCATTACGACCGTACTACGATGCCCCTAGCTACGTCAAACGTTATGCTACCACGCATCTACTACGATATTACGTAGACCATTGCCGACCAGCGGATGTGTTAACTGCGTTCACGCTACCCTGTCGCAACGACATTCAAAATCATACTATGACGCTACGCAAAGCTAGATGACTGTACGAATATACAGCTACGGTGGTGCAGATCACATTTCGATTGTATTGCGCTTCTATTACGATGTTGGCGATGGTGCTTATATTACAACCACAGATTTTTCTAGTACGATTTCGGCGATGATGCATATACATCTTGCAACTGCAGATTTTTCACGGCCTTTATTATGTGGTTTACGGGGCATTTTCAATTATAACTGTTACATGATGTGAAAAGTTCGAAGTCTCAATTGCAAATGATCGTCAAGTAATAGTGAAAATGAGCATATGGAACATATGCTGAGAGAACAAACAGTATTCAAGACCAGAAGTCCATAAATCAATACAAAATAGGGGCAGAGCAAACATAGACCTCCAAAACATCGGGGTGGGATC